TTTTATACTTATATAAATCCAAAGGCAAATGTACTGTATTTGTTTTACTTTTGCTTGTCCCACAAGACAGAGTGTAGTTTTTCACCAATGTCATGTTCTTCTCTCCTCTCTTTTCTCTCTCTCTCCACGAATTCTTTGCTACAATTCCTTCGTGTTTATAAGTTTAGTAGGGGGTCTACGGAGTGAAATGAAAAGCACATGGCTCTGTATTTTTACATGTAATGAAAGAAATATAATATGGCAGATGAATTATGTTGTTTATGGAGTTATGGATTTTACTGAAGGACATCTTTACTGATTCAGAATTAAAACTTTCAAAATATGCTTTGTGTTTTATCTATTGATATCAGAAAGATACAATGGAGAGAATTGTATTTGGTTCTGGGGAAACTATTTTCCATGCTAATTCTGAGTTAAGGCATAATCAACTATGCAGGATACTGCAACCCATGGAAGTAAGTTAAAGGTAATGCTAGATTATATTTTTTATAGTATATTATTGTACCATTTGGTGAAACATAGTTATAATAAGCTACCTTGTGGTTTTTTTTTTTTATGTTGAAAGATGAAGCAGAAAGGTTATAAATTCATATACATGTACCATCTGTAAAAATATGTACCTAAAGCCCAATGTCCTTAATATTACAAAACAGAACTGGGAATACAGTGGCAATGTATGCATCAGGCAAAATGACTGTGTCAGAATCCCCCAAAGAAATCTGATTTATATCAAAATGCTGTGCTCATACAAACAAGTGCTCATGCTGGGAAAGAGAAGAGAAGGATGATAGGGCTGGTTGCAAATTTAGAAATCACCACTATAATTTAAATATATCTAATGCATTTCACCATAGGGCAGAAGAATGTGACCAAATGACTATGTGTGTGCACAATTTACTGCCAGGTGCTGAGTGCTGATGGGGAGCTTTCTGATATTATTTTCTTTTCATTAAATTAGGTTTAAATTATGCTTTGAATAGAGTAACATCAGCTAGCCTATCTGGAAAAGTGATTTGGAATGGCAAAGCAACTGGGTAAAATTCTGAACTTTGTTGTTTTCCCCAATCTACAATTTGATTTGCAGAATTAGTAAATAAATATCATATTATATAAAATTGAGTCATTGAAATTGGAGAGCTCTGGGTAGAATTTAAATTATCCTCATTGGCAGAATGACTTTGGTCTGAAAGACAAGGAGAAAATTACCCCCTTCCCTCCTGTTTCAAAATCTGCTCTAGAAAAATTCTGGAACCATCAGGTCCTAAACAGATATGGAAGGAGGGGGCAGATAGGAGCAGAATATACAGGATTAGGGAAATTATGCTGCATTAGCAGAATTTGTATCCTGAGGGTACTGGTATTCTGTGTGTACCTCCTAGCTGATGGGCATATTATCTTGAATGCAAGGTTGTCTTTAGAGATCCTGGATCGCATAGAATAACATGGGCAAGTTTGTGATAAGATGCCAAATATGACAAAAGTAATCAGTATTGTCCTTGCTATCAAATATCCATTGGAGTGGATATTACTAGGGAGAGTAACATGGTCTGCTTTCTCCTCTTATTAAAAATCATGATGCGAAAGCCTTGATTGATCGAAACCATGATGGGAACTAGTGGGATTCGGTGATTCTTTGATTCCACATCCCAGAGTCCCCAGATTATAATGAATAATGTATTATAATGTATAAATAAATAAATAAAATGAGAAAACTCAAGCTTCAAGGCCAGGAGTAAAAAGTCACAGATGTTGCTCAATTATAACACCATCTATATCTGGAGGCTACAGGTTCCCATCCCTGCTTTAGGCCCTAGGGTCTACTTTATTTGCTTATTCTCTAGCTTAAAATGATTTGTATTATTAAAATCTCCTTCTTCCTCATCCTTTGCATTTATGGGTTTGTAACTTTTCATGTATGTAGTAATGTTATAAATAGTATCTGCTTCCATCAGGCTTAAATGCATTTAAAATATATTCTATAATAGTGGTAAAACCTTTCTTCCATTACATACAAATTATATATTATACCTTCTCCAGTAGTACATATGATGCAAAAGAAATATTGACTGGTTATGTGCCATCCAGTTGGTGTCAACTCTGTAGTGACAAAATAACTACACCTTCTCCTGGATGAAATACATGGAACCCCAACAAGTTTGGTCAGGATTGTTTCTTTCTTTCCTTTGGAAAAAAAAAAGTTGAATTATATCAAAACAGAAAATTAATTTGTCTTTAAACCCATTCTCTAAATGGTATATTAAGGGCATATGTATTCCTGGAAGGTTTGATTAGCATCTACCAAAAAATATTAATATATTTTTTAAAAAATCTGTGCAATAGCAAACTAGGGCTTTCCTATTTGGTTTCTCCTTTTTAAAAACATTCACATTTTTGGCTAAAGTTGTCCATTAGATTTGAAGACAAAAAACCCTCCAAATGAAAAATTGGCACATAAAATTAATGATTGCTGAAGTTGGCAATGCTTCCTAGGAAACTGAGGTCCTTCTGGCATTTGTATTTGGAACTTCATCAAAGCTTAAAGCCTCCATTCAATGTAACAGCTGAAAAGTAAAGATACAAGAGAGAGAGAGAGAGTGAGGAAAATGTCTCCAGAATACCAGGTGCAAAGAAAAACTAAAAGTTTATTAGGAAAGATCATTTTGTAGCTGTGTTCAAGTTTCCCTCCAGTGAAACAATTTTTTTAATGTATATGGAAAAAACAGTCTTCTGAGATTTAGTGAATTCTGGTTCATTTTTCCTTCCTCTAATATTAAATTGGAAGTGAAAGTAAGAGTAAGGTCAGAAAAACCCACAAAAAATGGACAAAACAATCTAAGCTGCCAAGCTGAACTTAGGAGAAATTTAGCTCTTCTCTAGGAATGACTAAGCTGTGTTAAGACAACACAGTTCCTTTTGGCCAACTTGACTAAAACCCAGATTTGATTATTTCTCTGATGCGACATGTGTTCAGTTTCACGCTTTTAAGATAATCCCCCAAAGCTTGATCTTTCTTGTATTATTTTATTTTACACAGCAACATCTTTGAACAGTGAGCTTCACATATATTGGACCAGATTTCAGCTTTCATGAGCAAAACTTTTACCCTTGACATTACTAGGAATGTCCTTGACACAGAGCTAATAGAATCAAAAGCAGGTTCAAGTCATCACACAGCTGCCAATGCATTCGCTCACTGAGCGGATTAGTGTGCAAAGCAAAAATGTGGAGAGAATCATGTAACTGGGATGTGAAACATACAAACAGTATTCCCCTCTTTAGGGGGAAAAGGGCATATT